TTGACCATATCTGGAGTTCTAGAAGTCCAAATGACCTAAATGTTTTATACAAGAAAACTGAGATAATCCTTTTATGAATACGAATCATTGACACAAAAGTAATAACTTTTAATTAAACCAACGTAATTTTCAAACGAAAATTAATTAAGTTCACAATTACCCTGTTAGAAGCTTTCAACACTCCTGTTATTATACACAATCAGTTGGCTTTTGAAAAAGGATGCCCCAAAACGCAGGTATTTTTTTGCCCTCACAGTGGAACCCATAAAATACTATGCCGCCAGTCCGTCCAAGGGATTTTTAGTGCTAACTCACGTCTTATTCTCCACTTAACCTTTTGAAAAAGCCCAATCACACGTACAGCTCACATGTCAGTAACCATGAATGTCACTGCTCTGTCACATTACACTGTCCGCTTTCCAAGGCCCAATCCAAGCCAACGCTCCTCTAAGTAAAAAAAAGTCAAAATAATTTGAAAAGGGAAAATAAGAGGGATTGGTCCCACGTACCAATTCGACCGTTGCAAAAAAAGTTGTTCTTAGGAACCCCCCATTTTCTTCTCCGTCTCTCATCGATCTCGCAATATCTCACTCTTTCTTGAAAAAACTCTTCTCTCTCTTCCTCTCTCTAAAAATATTTCTTAATGGCGATTGCTTCAGAGACCCAACCCCAAGAGAAGGTAATTTCTTGTAAAAGGTCGTGACTAGTTTAACTTGATTTCAAAATCTAGGGTTTTTGTTCTCTCATCTTGTAAAGGAACCGGTTCTCTTCCTTAATTTCTCTTTTATAGATCGAAATTGAATATTTTCGTTAGTTTATATTTAGGGTTTTGAATTGTGGGTTTTTTTAATTTTGGTACAGGCCAGTACGGAGGTATCAGGAGAAGAGAAGAAGAGATGGACGCTAAATGATTTTGATATAGGAAAGCCACTTGGACGTGGAAAGTTCGGTCATGTTTACTTAGCCAGAGAAAAAAGGGTGAGTTTTTCAGTTTCATTGATGATAAAAACCCTTTATTTTTATACAATTAAATTCGAAATCTGTGCTTGTTATTGTTCATAAATTGGAGCTTATATGTGAATTTATTTGGGTTCTCGTGTTAAAATGAATTTTTAATTTTTAGGTTTTTTGATTTTGGGGTTACCTTAGAAAATTTAAGGAAACTAGCAGGATTTTGTTTTAACTGATCAGTGTACAATCAATTGATCTTTTAATGTTTGTTGCTGGTTCAGAGCAATCATATTGTGGCTTTGAAGGTTCTGTTTAAGAGTCAGTTGCAGCAATCACAGGTTGAACATCAGCTCCGTCGCGAAGTTGAAATTCAAAGTCATCTTAGGCATCCGAATATATTGCGCCTTTATGGTTACTTTTACGATCAGGTGTGTTTCTTACGATCCTCGTTTGATTTTTTGAAAGTGTTTGGTAAATTTGACTGATTAGTGTTTTTTCTACCTGAAATTGTGGCAGAAACGAGTTTATTTGATATTAGAATATGCAGCCAAAGGTGAACTCTACAAAGAATTGCAAAAGTGTAAATACTTCAGCGAAAGACGTGCTGCTACTGTGAGTTATTTTTAAGCCGTCTCTTTCAATTATCTTCAGTTTACTTGTCCTGCTGTTAATACCCTGGTGCCAGCATGTTTTACCTTCAGTTAATTTGCTTCAAACCATGATTTTTCCTTGAACTTCCTATTTGAGGCACGAAAATTACATTTTGCACTGTTATGTCTGATCATGCGAATACTG